ATCTTTCCCTCCAGAGATCAGGAATTTTTTAAACTGTTACATGTGCTGAGGCCAGCTGTCCTCAGCACTAACAGCAAACACAGCTCTTAATTCCTGTCTTCTCCAATGACTGAAGAAAACAAAACATAGCTACCCATGAAACTCATTCCTGCACATGCAGATGTTGTTGGCACAATCAATAGCCCGTTTATTCAAAAGCAACAAGACAGACCTTTGGCTGCAAAGGTTCTGAAAAACTCCAATATGTTGACATGATTCAAGGAGAAACTCGGCTCCTATCCGCCCTCCACCAGCTCTGGCAGGTTCAGGAATTATAGAACCACAGAATCGTTTGGTTGGAAAAGACCTTTGAGATCATCAAGTCCAACTGTACCTGTCCACTACCAAACCACATCTCTGAGCACCTCATCTACCCATCTTTTAAATCCCTCCAGGGATGGGGACTCCCCCACTGCCCTGGGCAACCCCTTCCAATGCCTCAGAACCCTTGCAGCAAAGAAATTCTTCCTCACAGCCCATCTCAACTGCCCTGGCCACAACTGGAGCCCATTTCCTCTTGTCCTGTCCCTTGCTCCTTGGTTGAACAGACCCACCCCCACCTCTCTCCACCCTCCTCCAAGGGACTTGCACAGAGCCACAAGGTCTCCCCTCAGCCTCCTTTTCTCCAGGCTCAACACCCCCAGTTCCCTCAGCCACAAGGGAACTCAGCACACTTGTGCTCCAGACCCTTCCCCAGCTCCGTTGCCCTTCTCTGGACACGCTCCAGCACCTCCATGTCCTTCCTGGAGTCAGGGGCCCAAAACTGGACAATTTCAACCACAGCTCATTTTTCACAGTCCCTGAGGTTTGCATCATTCCTACCACAACCAACTCACCAGAAACAACGGAAGAAGAAGTTTTATCAGAAGCACGGTAAGAGCTCAGGCACGCGACGGTAGCCGATGTCCTTAGGGAAAACTGGGCTTTACTTTTACCCATCTGGGTGTGTTTCAGGGACAAACACCCGCCTAGTGATGAAACACCACGTATCCTACGGCTGTAAATACCCAACCTGCCCAGCACAGAGACCCACACATCCTTCTTCCTTGGGGGTCAACCCAAAACTACTGCAAACATTCCGGACACGTTGTTTCTATAAAGGAAGAGCAGCAAGCCCAACACACCCTAAAAGCATCAGAGTGACACACAGCTGGGGACCGCCTGTGTTGGGACGTCTCTGGGAAAGGTGGTGGCTGGGAAGGACCTGCTGCCAAGCAGACAGTTTGCTTGGCCCATGCTCCCCATCTCCAGCCCAAGGGCCTCCCCAGCAGAGAGCAGAGAGCAACGGGGAGCAGAAATCCCACCCCATGCCATTACTTCTGCTTTAGCAACTAGGGAAAGCAGTAATTTTTCTCTCCTCGTTGTCTTGCTTCATTCAGATGCTGACACGGCAACAGCTGTTGTGCATCAGACTGAGCCAACAGTGATCTCCGCCGAGCCACCAGCAGAACAGGGACCAAGCCTGGGCCACCACACCAGAGTGCAGCAGGGACCTGCCCCTGCTCCAGCCCCCTCCCAGCCCCGTGACACCGAGTCTGGTGTCCCTTCCAAAATCCACTTCACGTCACTTTCAAAACCTGTGTCTCTGTCAGCTCCAGGTAACCCAGGAATAAACATGAACCCCTCTCCAAACAGGAGCACAGCAAGTGAAGATGCAGACTTCCAACTCAACTGAAACCACTTGATATTAGGAAAAATATAAAAAATAAAAACACACGGTGATTCTAAGACAGGATAACTTTATACGTTTTATTTCTGTGGGGTTTTAGGTTTTAAATAACATGAGACATTTTTGTTCTGATTGTATAGCTGAATTGCAGCTCTTTTAGTAAACTTCGGGGTAATTTTCAAAGTGGACATTTTATGATTATAAAAATGCAAAGCATTCAAAGTGCAGCTTCTCCGGAAGCACGAACCTTCCAAGCATTGAAGCTTAATTAAAAGAACGGCAGTAATAATTTTAGCTATTGTGAAAACCATTGATATTAAAAAAATAAAAATCTCAATTATGTGGTGACCATGACCAAGCAATTCTTAAACTGATTCTCAAATCCTAGGTGGTTATTTTTTTAAAAAGACAGCCTGGTTTCCAAAGGCAGCACTGCTCTCCCATGAGATGCACGATATGCTTCACACACGAGTGGCAAGAAACAACCTCTAGTTATTACCAGGTCCTGAGTACAGCTACAACTCATATTTCAAGTGTTAACCTTTAGGCCCAAATTTTCTTAAAACAATCCTGCAGAACACATATATTTCAAATATCTATATTTAAAATTATCTGTTTCACTAACCTACAAACTTTATTATAGATAAACTGTCATCTGGAGAAAACCGCCTTAAATTAGATTTCAAGTATTCATCAACATTAAAGTTGTCACTCTTTATTTTAAGTCCTTTGAAGATCCTGAGACAAACACTCATATTAATTCAAAAATAAGAAAAAATATATATTTTTTTTTAAAAAAGAACTGAAGCAGCTCCCAGAGCAGCACTGCAAGTCCCCGTGCAGACCAGCTCCCATCCACACAGCCCAGGCTTTTCCGACAAGACCGCTCGGGCTCCCAACCCGCCGAGGAGACTCGCAGCTCCCAGCAGAAACGTCAGCCACAACATCTGGCAGCTGCTGAAAGCTGAGTCATCTTTTGCAGTCGCTCAAAATTATACACATCGCTACCCTCTCTTGCTCAGTGACAGTGATTTGTGAGGAATACGGGAGCATCAGCAATCACAACTCTGCCTCCCAACTTCTTTCCATGTATTAACTGCACAAAAAGGAACAAGCACGTGAAGGAAGCCAAGCAGTATTTTATTGACTCCCAGAAGACAGATAAGGATTGCATACAACCCTGGAAAACATCTTACTTTTTAAAATCCTGGAATTATAAACAAGACAACTCATTCCTCATAAATAACCCGATACCATTCCTTCATCAAAAGGTTTTGGCATGGAACATATTTCCTTTACAGTTTAATTTTAATCGTTCATTTGAACAGCTTAAAAAACTATGTCTATAATAATACTTAAATATATTGCTCATATTTGTGACTTCGTAAAAAAAATAGTTTGAGCTACTACTTTCCTAGTCATCAAAAAAATCCAGAGAGACACCAACTTTTGAATGAGCACTTCAGAAAGATGGGTGAAAATAATTTGCTGGAAATTCTCAACAGACTTCATTTACCAATAGAGTGAGCCCCTTAAAAAATGTGTATTTGATCTAATAGCAGTAATGATCTCAAGAAAATGCACTCGGTGCCACCAGCTTTCCCTTGATCCCGCAGAGAGCTGCGCACGCACTCTACTACCGCCGCCAACAGCATTTCTGCAACGTGAACAAGACAAGGTTGATCTCAAAGGCAGATGCCCCATTGCTTGCAAAATCTGACCACAATATAATTAAATTCCTTTTAGTTTTAGGACAGGTCCGTCTAAGCCTCAGTTGGATGATGACCACAAAAGCCTTGCCAGGCTGGTAGAGGCCACAGGAGCGCTCTTGGTTTGAATGAGAAACGGATAGGATGGCCTAAGTCACCCACGAAGCTGAATGAACACAGCCTGTCTATTGCAGCTTGCAAAATGTGTTCCTCTGGCATCTGGAAAAGGCAGTAACCTCTGGAAGCACCACAGTCTTTTCCGAGGAAATCGCTAGGCCGTAGACTTGCCCGCCTTCCCACGGCAGCGCTCACCATTATCCATCATGCTGCCAAAAATGCATTGTTTGCACCTCAGTGCATGAATCTGAAATCACTAACCCAGAGGTTTCAACTAATGCACAAGTGATTCTCAGGCTTGATCATTTTTTGAAGTTGAAAACGGGTTCCTACTTGAGCAATAGCAAAGCAATGCTTCTCCTTGGCATTCATGATTGGCCAGAAGTGGTTTTACATCAAAGTCTCCTAACGCCCCAAGTATCTGCTAACCCCCCAGAGCTGCTGGGGCTGAGGTACAGTAAGTCCATACACAGGCATTGGCCATGAAGCTGGCTGAAGGGACTTCCACGCTCCACTCCACTGCCTGCGCACACGCATCGGCACAACCGTAAACTGGATCTCCGACACAGCGTGGGTCTAGAAGTGACCCTTGACTGGACTTCAAAGCACAGACCAGCTCGTGGATGTGATGTTGTGTGTGGCACAGGCAAGGGGTGGTGGAGTGGAGGTACAGGAACCAACAGCTGGAATGTGGTGCACTCATTTGGTTTTGTCAGGCGAACTCCCATGTCATGAAACATCACCTTCCTCATTTGCCAAGGGAACGTGGAGGATCTCTGA